AACAGTGGGGACAGTGCGACAGTGGTGGGGGCATTGGTGGGGACAATAGGGACGGTGGTGGAACCAGTGGGGACAGTGGTGGTGAGGACAGTGGTGCTGGGAACAACAGTGGGGGATGTGATGCGAGCGGTGGTAGGGACCGGGAGTCGTTTGCTGGCGGTGCGTGGGGGGGGGGGGGTCGAACCGGTAGTGACCCCCCTCCGGTTTTCGAGGGGGGGGGGAGGGGTTCCAACCGGTAGTGACCCCCCCCCCCCGGTTTTCCGGATCGGAGGGGGGGTGGAGGGGGGGGGGAGGGGTTCGAACCGGTAGTGACCCCCCCCCGGTTTTCGAGGGGGGGGGGGTTGGGTTTTCGAGGGGAGGGGGGGGGGGGGAGGGGTTAGGGGAGGGGGTTTTTGCCGGGAGGGGGGGGAGGGTTGGGGGGGGGGGGGGGGGGGGGGGGGAGACCCCCGGGTTCCGGAGGAAAAGGTTGGCAATTTTCCACAGTAAAGCGGCGGTGGATCACGCTCTCTCTCATCATCAAAACCATCATCATCATCAGCATCATCATCCCCATCAGCAGCATCAGCATCGTCGCCATCATCATCGTCGTCATCAGAGTCATCATCATCATCATACTCATCCCTATCAACACCAATGTCCTCGTCATCGTCATCCTCATCGTTATCAGCAGCGGCAGCATCATCAGCACTAGCATCTGCATCGCCATCGCCCTTACCAACAGCATTGTCGCGACAGTCCTCATCGTCAGCATCGTCATCAATAGCTTTATCAGCAGCACATTCAGCATCGGCATCGTCACCGTCATCATCAGCATCAGCATCAGCATCGTCATGCTCATCACCATCGCTGATCGTCGTAATCGTAAGCATCACCATCATAGTCAACATCATCAGCATCATCAACAGCAAAACCGTTCTCATCACACACATACGCATAAGAATAAGTGTCAACATCGTCACCGTCACCACCAACATCATCACCAACATCATCAATCGTCATCACCGTCGTCATCCATCAAAACGTCATCATCGCAATCATCATCGTCACCTTCATCAACCTCACCATCAGTATCATCATCAGACTCTTCATCCACATCGTCACCACGACCATAATCATCATCACTGTAGCCATCATAGTCGACATCAGACGCTGAAGCAGCGGCAGTATAACCACGATCGGTGCCAACATCATCATCACCAATAATACACCCACCACCACCACTACTGCCACCACCACCACCACCGCCATCATCATCATCATCATCCTCATCCTCGTCATCATCCTCAAACTCACCCTCGCTTCACCATCACCATCACAATCAGCATCATCATCGTCGCCATTACCGTCATCACCCTGGCCAACACCATCATCACAATGACCATGAGCAGTAGCACCCTCATCAGCATCAATATCGATATCGTCATCATCATCACCATCATGACAAACATTACCACCATCACCATCAACATCCTGGTCAGAGCACCCCAAATATATCATATATAATATATACATTACATTGGTTTATATCTACACAAATCAAAAAGAAACTCCTTTTTTAGCAAGGATCAGTCTTAACAGTGTGATTTGTGTTCGTTTTATGTTTGTTTCCCTCGTTCTGTCGTCACTCCGCCTTTGCTGCAAAACGAATTCGAACCGAAATCGACCCAATAAATCGCCAAGGCAATGTGTGGGTCGACCATTGATATGTGCATCGGGTCGCTGATATCAACTGACCACTTCATTGGTCCTGGCCAGGCCAATCCTGGGCCCAGGGTCGGGAGTCATACGCCCTGCTGGCCCGGCCAAGGAGGCATCCGCACCCATCCTGGGCCCAGGACACGCAAGGCCAGCATTGGTGGTCAGCTGGCGCCTCCCGAGTATTGGTTCGGGGCAAGTTTCCCGCGGAGTGCTTGCACCTAGGAATTCTCACGCGTGCCGCGAGGAAGTGGTCCTGTCCCCCGCAAGCTTTCCAGCGCGCGCTGGGATTGCCGCGTCAGTCGCCCGC